ACCTACTTAGAACAAGCTAAACTAAAGCAGAGACCGCGGTTCAATCCCCAGCACCACATGCCAGCCAGCCCCACCCCCTGGTGGGCTGAGCTGGCACCACACACACACACACATACACACAAATAAATAAATAAATAAAATTTTTTAAAAAACTGGCCTTGAACACACTACATAGCCTAGGTTGGCTTCAGATTTAGTGATCCTCCCATTATAAAACATGTCATAGTTTATAAGTCGATAGACACTTAAACATTTTTATCTTTTTTTTTTTTTTCTGTATTTAGGACAAAGTCTACAGGGTCTCACTTTGTAGATCAGACTCATAATGATTCTCATGTTTTCACCCTCCCAAGCCCTGGGATTAAAGGCATGGGTCACCACACCCAGTCTCAATTGCCATCTCAGTGCACCCCAAGGAGCACACCTGGCACAGCACACCAGAGATAGAGCCCCGGCCACTGCACATTGCCAAAGCAGGTGCTTTAGTCTGCTGAGCTATCTGTTGGTCCTTTAGACTTTCTTTCTTTCTTTCTTTCTTTCTTTCTTTCTTTCTTTCTTTCTTTCTTTCTTCTTTTTGCGGAACCGGGAGTTGAATTCAGGTCCTTGCGCTTGCCAGGCCAGGACTTGTCCTACTGAGCCATCTTCCTGGCCCCAAGACATTTTTTCCTTACAAATAGAAAAATAGTGATTGCTTTGTACCATTACCAATAGTGATTATCAAAGGATTTTCAGTTTGTACACTAACATGCCTGAGGTTATGATACCTTGATAATAGCTACTATTTACTGCATGCTTCTTATCAGTGAATGTGCTATGCATTTTATTTGTATTTCTAATACTCAACTTTATGCTAAATAGTATGATTGTCTGCTTTTCATCTATGAGTAAACTAAAGCTCAAGGAAGTAAGATTAATATTATTTGTTTAAGGTCACAAAGCTAGTTAGTAGCTGGGTTGGAATTGTAACTCATCTGTGTAAGGTCAAATAATATAGTTTTCTTCTTTCTTTCCTTTTTTTCTTTTCTTTTTTTTTTTGAGACACAGTTTCACTATGTAATTTAGGCTGGTCTTAAATTTACTTTGTATCCCAGGCTGGCCTTGAACTCTCAATAATCCTCCTGCCTCAGCCTTCAGGCTATGATTATAGGCATGGGACAATAGTCCACTTTTTCTGCAGAGCTCTGCTCCTTAAGAAAAGACTGAATAAGGGGCCGGGGAGATGGCTCAGTGGAATAAGCGCTAACCTGGCAAGTGCAAGGGCCTGAGTTCAATCCCTGGTTCCGCCAAAAAAAAAAAAAAAAAAGACTGGGTAGACTACTCTTGGTTTCTGAAAGTATAGTAGAAAAGGCAATGAGAAAAATATGAACTAGGTAAAAGATGGTTCTCAGACCAGCAGTATCAGTGTCACTGAGAATCTGTTAGAAATGTAAGTGCTCAACCTCCAGCCCAGACATATAGAATCAGAAATTTTAGAGTAGGAAACAGTGATCTGTTTCATAATACATCCAGCTAATTATAGTTCATATTAAAGTTGAGAACCACAGGGCCAGGGAGATGGCTCAGTGGAATAAGTGCTTCCCTGGCAAGCGCAAGGGCCTGAGTTCAATCCCCGGTTCCAAAGGGAAAAAAAAAAAAAAAGTTGAGAACAACTGGTCTAGAGAAGTTATTTCCCAGCTACAGGTACACCTCAGTTAGCAACCTACTTGTTTAATGCCTGGACCTACAACCTGGCCCTCAGACTTAGGACCTGTCTTTCTTTTTGTACTGTTCTGTAAATCTTGTTTATAAATGTTCAGTATCTTTTTTAGTAGAGCTCATCTTGTTTACACATTTCTATAAACTGCTTGTACTATACAGTACTATAGTTTTGTGTTGTTATACATTGTAGTACTACATGTAAGAGTAATGCAAAGAAAAGCAAAGTTATCAGGCCAGGGAGATAGCTCAGTAAAATAAGCACTTGCTTGGCAAGACAAGAGCCTGAGTTCAATCTCCAGTTCTGCAAAAAAAAAGGGGGGGGGGCTGGTGAGATGGCTCAGTGGTCTAAAGCACCTACTTAGAACAAGCTTAGCAAAGCACAAGGACCGCGGTTCAATCCCCCAGCACCACATGCCAGCCCCGCCCCCTGGTGGGCTGAGCTGGCCACACACACACACACACACACACACACACACACACACGAATAAATAAATAAATAAAATCTTTTTAAAAAGGCAAAGTCATCAAGTTGGAATTTTCTTTGACCATTTCTTTGTTCTTAATATTGCAATGTACATACTTTATACAATTCCTTATTTAGCAATCCATTTCACGTCTTAGTTGCAGGAATGTGACTTAGTCATTAAATAGGGACGTCTATAGTGTCTATTGTTTCTGTGGGATTTTAGCCCAAGTCTCAGCCCTTATGTGCAAAATTAGCATTATCACATAGTGGTGAGAGAATGGTGTCACACGGGAGCTAGTTGACTTATAAAGTTACTAAGCATTTAAGAAAAATTCATCTCCCTGAACTAGTTTGCATCTTTGAAATAGCAAAACATTTATCTGCAAAACACATAAGCAAAACAAAACAGCTCTCTGCACGTAAGATATTTTTAGAATTAGATAAAATAAGCCAGGCATAGTGGCATGTACCTGTAGTTCCAGCACTTGGGAGGTTGAGCGGGAGAATTACTGTGTGTTCAGGGCCAGCCTGAATTACAGTGAGACCCTGTCTCAAGCCCCCTATACTGCATGCACACACACATGAAGTGCCTGATATAGTGGTGGTAAACCTATGGCACGTGCGCTACGGTGGGCATGCAGAGCCCTCTCTGTTGGCAAACACGCCAATCATGCCAGCAGCTGAGCACTGGATAACAGCTGTTTCTCTGAACTAAAACTTCACTTTTCAGGTTTAATTGAAGTGCTGACACTGTGATGAATAAGTGGGTTTTGGGCTGCAGTTTGGGTGCTCAGTTTCTAAAATGTTTCCTGTCACTGGCCTAGGTTACTGCTGCCAAGCTCCCAGGTGTTTGAGAAATAACCTCTTAGCAATTTTTCTTGTTCGCAAATAGCAGCTATCTGTGTTTATTCTAAACTCTTCCTGTTTCCTGAATGTATTTCACTGTCTTTTGCCTCTGGGCTTTCGCCCAACCTCATACTCCTCTTTTATGTTACTAACTTCTATACATCCTTTAGATCTCTTCTTACAGTTTACTTGCAATGGAGAGTCTTTCCCTAATCCCTATACCCCCAGTGTCAATAGCAGCCTGTATTTCTCCTATTACTTTATTTATCACACTGTTTCAGAAGCAGTGTGTCTCGTGTGAGGGCAGGTGCTGTGTTTTGTACTTTATCACATTCTTTTTTTTTTTTTTATCACATTCTTATGGACTAGTGAATTTCCTCACACATTGTAGGAGGTAATAAATGTTGAATGAATGAGTAATGGCTGCCGTTATTGCTTCAACATAATCATCTAAGAGCAGGCATCCCACTCTGGTTTATAGTTTTGTACTGACTGCTTATGATAATCATAAGTAAATATTATTGGGACCAATGCCTGTTTTTCTGCTTTGACACAGACGGGGAGAATTCTCTTAGCTTCTTTCTAACCACTGATTCCTTTTATCACAGGTCCCTCAGGGGAGCTCTATACTTTGATGGATCGGCAGCATCCTTCGGATCTCACCATGCGGTGAGTAGGTGACTAGAAAAGGGTAGAATTTGGTTGCAGGGGGACTGTGGGAGAGTTAGGCTTATAATTGTTTAATTCTAGAAGTGGAAAAAGAATCATTGTAGTAAAATAGAAAGGCAACTAGAGGAAATTCAGGAAGCCTAGATTCTAATACCACATTGGCAATATACAAGTGGCTGTATGATTTTGATCAAGTCACTCCACTTCTGTAATCAGTAAAATGAAGATGAGCTGAGCATGGTGGCATATTCCTGTAATCCCAGCATTTGAGAGGTTGAGGCAGGAGGATTGTTGTTATCTTGAGGCCAGCTTAGGCTATTTACTGAGTTCAAAGCCAGCCTGAACAACATAATGCGACCCTGTCTCAAAAAATAAATAAGTAGGCTGGGTGTTGTGGTTCACACCTGTAATTTTAGCATGGGGAAGGCTGAGGCAGGAGGATTGTTGCAAGTCTGAGACCAGCCTGGGTGACAAAGTAAGCCTAAGGCCAGCCGCACTGCATAAAGTTAAAAAATAAAATGAAGATGTTAGACTGATTGATATCAAAGGATCTTTCTAGTTTTAAAATTTGGATTCCTGATGAAGTATATAGCTTTACAGATTGATTCAGTTCCTTGAAAGCCGTGGAGTCCCCTTTGGCTCCCCTCAGCCCGTATTCAATCAGCAAATCCTATCCACTGTACATACATGTCCAGAACCTGGCCATTTCTTAGCATTTCACCAGGATTATTGCAAATGTTCTTCGCTATTGATTTTTTTGAGACATGATCTCCCTATGCCGTTCAAGCTGGCTTTGAACTCACAATAATCCTCCTGCAGCCCGGCTCTTGGCTATTGTTTTTAGCTCAGCTGGCAGAACAATTTTTTTTTTTTTTTTTTTTGAAGAATATCAGATTCATCAGGCCAGGGAGATGGCTCAGTAGAATAAGTGCTTCCCTGGCAAGCGCAAGGGCTTGAGTTCAATCCCCAGTTCCACAAAGGAGGAAAAAAAAAAAAAAGAATATCAAATTCTCTTTGCTTGATGTCTGCCAGTGGTTTTCCATCTTCTATGTTCCTAACTTCACAGACACCTTTAGAGGGGTGTGTGCTTTGGCATAAATTTACCAACTTCATCGATTGCTGTTCTTCCTGTGTTTATTCTGTTCCACTTACGCTGGCTTCATTCCACACACGCTGTTTCTACGTGTGTCACGTGTTCTTACTTCAGGGTCCTTACACTCATGTTTCCTCTATACTTGCCAAAGTCATCACAGTTCTCAAGAACGCAGTGTACATACTTTATACAATTGCAATGTACATACTTTATACAATTATAAATGTACATACTTTATACATACTTTATACAATTGCAATGTACATACTTTATACAATTATAAA